CCGACGGAATTTCAGTCGTTGGACAAGAATTCTCCTGCCCGGAAAGTCCGTCGGAAATTCCGCCAAAAATTTCTTATAGAATTTCCGTCGGAAAAATCTACTAAACACTACAAGAAATAAGCCAATTAACGACGAAAATAATCCCTCGGAATATCCTGAAATTCCGTCGGAAGTGACTGTTTCCGACGGAATTCCGTCGGAATAGGTCGTCGTAAACCTATGTGTAGGAAAAACGACATTTTCCGATGGAAATACCGTCGTAACAATATTTTCCGACGGAATATTTTCGTAGAAAGAGCTATTCCGGCCACCGGAAAGTCCGTCGGAACTTTCCGACGGAATACAAATCCGCCGAAAAATTCCGTCGGAAAATCAAATCCAGAAAAAAAAAAAAGCCCCCCACCAATCACCATCACCACCCCACCACCTAACCTCCCCCTTAACCATCACCAGCCCCCACCACTCACCACTCCTCCGGCCCCAACCTCAAAGGAACCCTAACCCTACCACCTACCCTCCCCCTTAACCACCACCACTCACCACCAGCCCCCACTATTCTCCGCCAGCCCCCACCACTCCCCGCCAGCCGCACCATCGTTCACCCAAAAAAAAAAAACTCGAAAACAAAAGTAACCACTAAATTTGTAACAAAAACCGAAACAAATTACAAAAATTAAGCCAAACAAGTCGAAAAATACAACACAAACAAATCAAAACCACTAGATTTACATATTTAATTAGAATTTCATAAAAAAATTAAACAAAAACCGATAATTATACATTAAAAATTAAAGGAAATACAATTATCTAATCAAATTTATTATCAAAATTACAATTACATAAAAAACTTAGTAAATCTACAATCTAACTTAAATTAAAACTAAATCTACAAAAATATGAGACTTTCGCGCAAAAATCGATAACGAAAACTCTTACGCCGTTGTTGTTGTTGACGTTGGTTGGCCGTAGTTGTTAATGAATGCGCCGTTGTTGTTTTTGATGTTGGTTGACCGATATCGAAACTCTGTTTTATGAATGTCGCACAAAAATAGAGAATAAAAACTCTGATTTTTTGAATTTCGAACAAAAAATCTGATTTTATGATTTTATGAACAAAAACTCTGGTTCGTTGATGGAAAGAAGGGGAAAGAGAAGAGGAAAGAGAAGAGAGAGAAAGAGAAGAGAAAAGAGAAATGAGTGAGGAGAGGAGAGGAGAGAGAAAGAGAAATGAGGCGCACAGAACGAGGCGCACAAAAGGAAGGGAGAAAGAGGGGGAAAGTGTTTTAGGGTTTTTTTTGTTTTTTTTAATTATTTCGGAAAAATCCATCGGAAATTTCCGACGGATTTGATTTCTGCAGGAAAATTACTGTTCCGACAGATAAAATCCGTCGGAAATTTCCGACGGATATTATTTACGTTGGTACTTTACTGTTCCAACGGAATATTCCGTTGGAACAGCCTTAGTTTTCCTACGGAATTTTATTCCGTCGGAAACTTTTGACGGATTTCCTACAGAATACAAATTCCGTCGGAATTTCTGATATTTCCGACGGAAATACATGTCCGTCGGAATTTGGCCTATTTCTAGTAGTGAAAACAAAAACCACCGCACCACCCCACACCGACGCCACCACCAGCCCCCATATCCACCTTACCATTGCCCCAAACCACCACCAACCACCATACCCACTACCCAGCCACCAGCCCCCCTACCCACTGCCCCACGCCACCACCGGCCACCTCCACTTCGCAATTTAAAATTACAAAAAAAATTATAAAAAACCACTTCCCTACAACCGAAACCAACACCCCCACTTCACTTAAACCAAAACCACTTCACCTAAACCAAAACCACCACCACCACTTCCCCACCCTAACCCAGATCCACCCACCTAATCTAAACTCTGATCGAACCCTAACACAAACCCTGACAAAACAAGAAACCAGATAAAAATCAAAATTTAAAAAAGAAAAAAAAAAAGAAAAAAAAAGACATACTTACCTTATTTCCACCACAAAACTTCAAAATTGGGTTTATGAGGCGAAACTCAACCATGAAAACTCTAGAGTTTTCATTATTGAATTTCACCAAATAAACCTTTGATTTCATCCACAAAAATTCGACCAGGAGAACTAAGAAGAAGGGGAAAGGGAGAAGAAGGGGCGAAATAGAAAAAGAGGCGGTAGCAAGTATGGCGTTCCAGGGGGGCAGCAGCATCCCGCGGAGAAGAGTGAACGGAGGACAGAAGAAAAAAAAGGGATATTCTCAATGGTAACCCCCTACAATTGCTACGCACCAACGGTAAACCCCCTTTTTTTGGATTATACGAAATTGTAGTAATTGGGTGCTGAATTGCTGTTTGCGGTGAGTGGACGGTGAATTGGTGGTGAATGGGCGGTGAATTAGTGGTAAATTGGTTGCTGCAAGTGGCGAATCGGTGGTTGTTGTTACGTGTGCTGCTGTCATTGTTGTTGCAGCGTTAAGGGGGGCGAGCAGAGGCTGCTAGGATGCGCCTGTGGCAGGGCATTGCTGTAGAAGGTGATGTTGCGGGCTGCAGGGGTGGAGCAGGGGGGTTGCTTTGGTGTTTGTTGTTTATGTTGATTGGACAGTTGTGCATCTGGGCTCCGATCGTCTTGTTAATTGACGGTGGGATATGGCTAGTGATGCTGTGGCTAATGAGATGGAGGTGTGAATTGTGAGGCTGCTGCATTGACTGGGTGGGGGCATCGGGTTTAGGGAATGAGAGGAGGGTGGGGCGAGGGAGGCTGGGCGTCGCCAGCGTCGGCCGGGGGTGGTGGGTGCTTGGCGCCGGTAGGGAAAGGGCTGGTGGCTGGGAGAGCTAGGGTTTGGGTTTTTTTTATAAATATTTTTATAATTATTAATTATTAAAAAAAAATTAACCATAGTTAATTTTAATTGACTATTTTATGTTAAAACACCATCGTTAATGTCATCTTTAGGAGAAAAAAGAAAAGTAGTGTCATTTTGTATAATCCAAAAAAAGAGGGTTACCATTGGTGCGTAGCAATAATAGGGGGTTGCCATTGAGAATATCACAGTGAACGGAGAAAAAAAAAAAAAGAGAGAGAGAAAGAGAAGGAGGGGGGAGAAAAGAGAAGGAGAACAGCGAGAGAACGAGGGGGAAGAGAGAGAAAGAGAGGAGAAAGTAAAATGATAGGTAAAGGACAAGGGGAGGTTGACCACTTAATTAGGGTTTTGGGATTTCTTTTTAAAAAAAAAAAACCTAAAGTCCATCGAAAATCCTTAAAAATCTGTCGGAAATGTCCGACGGAACAATTATTTATTTTCCGACGGAAAAATCCGTAGGAAATTTCCTATAGAATAAAATCGTCGGAAATTACATTTTTTCCGATGTCTTCAAATTTCGTCAGAAATTTCTGACGGAAATTCCAAATTCGTCGGGAATTTCCTACGGACTATAAATCCGTCGGAAATTTCGTATTTTTCGACTGATTTTCGTGTCCGTCGGAAATTTATAGTGGAAGAAATATAATAAAGAATCAGTAAAATTAATTTCAGTTCAGTAAAAATGATTTAAATTCAGCAAAATTAATTTAAGTTCAATAAAATTAATATTTATTCAGCAAAAATAAGGTGAGTGAAGGGGGCTAATACTTCGTAGTACACTATTACGTAATTATCCAAAGTTTAGTAACAAACTTTTTGTTTTTTTTATTATCAAAAGTATTAATTATTAGATATCTTAACAAACTTCTTCCTTTTTTATAATATCCTTTTTGATAACCCAATTTAAAAAAATCTGTCGAAAAAAAATTAAAAAAAAATTAACAATAACAAAGTTTCTTGACGAGAAAGTTTTTTCTGAAATGATGACATGTGTATTATGGGGATAATGATAGAGTTGTCAAACGGGTCGTGTCATGTCGTGTTCATGTTCGTGTCGATGTTAAACGGGTTAAAAAACCCTTGACCCAATCCTAACCCGTTTATTAAATGGGTTGAAATCCCTTGACCCAAACCTAACCTGCTTATTAAATGGGTTATCCGGGTAACCCTTTACCCACATAGTATGTAATAAACTAATTAATATCCAATTAAAAAAATAAAAAATAAAAAAAGAAAAAAAACCATCATTAATTCATTAAAGTAACTACAAGAGTTTAAAGTTAGTAGTTTTAGCAAAAGATACCACAGGGGTTTGAAGCTAGTAGTTTTAACAACATAACCATACATAAGAATTGTCTCAAATTAACCGCCAAATTAAATTTTAATTTACAAAAGATGAAAATTATAATTTTCTCGCCAAATTAACAGCCAAAAAATACCAAAAAGTATAAAAGGTGTCAAGGTAATTTACAAAATTACAAATTTTGAATTAAAAAAAGTCAGTTTTTTTACTACTTAATTAATATATTAATCGTGTCGGGTTCAGGTTATTGGGTTGTCGTTCAACCCATTTATATAAACGGGTTATGCGTGTCGATTTCGGATTGAAAATTTCAACCCAAAGTTAACCCATTTAATTTCATGTCGGGTTCGTGTTGATCCAATTATGTAAGCAGGTCGAGAATTCTTGACCCAAACCCGCTTATTTCGTGTTAGGTTCGTGTCTGGTTACCGTGTTGTGTTAGCTTTTAACAACCTTAGATAATGATGGGGATTACTTTAGTATTTAGATATTGATAGAGCAGTTATCCATAAAGAGCTAAGAATGAATGCTAAAATATATTCTAGCTAGGAGGATTCTGTGCAAAGATATATAGAATGAATAGAATTTTCTCATACAATAAACTACTTAAAATCATGAAGATGTGGAGCTAAATACATGCATGAAATCTGTGAGGATAAATTATGGAGTGATATTGTGATAATATCAATTAAGTCAAATATACTATTTGGTAATATTATTAATACGAGAGTCATGCTTTACACGCCTATAAGTACCATAGTTTGTTAATCTCTTAATTAAACATATTATCCATAGAATAATAATTAGTTACATTTTCTCTCACAAAATATGGCAATTAAAGAATACCTTCTATCAGTAATTTTACTGTTGCTCCTTACTTTGGTTCCATTCACAACCCAGTCGAAACAAAACGCTAACCCTTTCGGCTTCCTAAAGAGCTTAGAAGGTTGCAAGAAGGGCCAAAACGTAGATGGTCTTCACCAGCTTAAAATGTACCTCACAAAACTTGGGTACCTCAACAACCATCATGTTTCCCAAAATGAGGTAACTACTAGCTTGACTATTAAAGAAGATAATAAATTATTCGATGAGAGCCTCGAGAAGGCAATCAAAACGTACCAAAGGAATTACAGGCTAAATATAACAGGACATTTGGATGGTGCCACAGTAAAACAGATGATGAAACCTCGGTATGTTGTGTTTCAATATTTCTAGAAACTCTAAGGTAACACTAGCTAGCGTTAGCGTCCTTTACTTTCATATTAATAGAAATTAAAGATCAAATTCAATTTTAACTGCATGTATGTGGTAATATAACCCGGTAGTGGGCACATATACGTAATTTACTAATTTTGAACATACACATATTAGGAAAAAAAAACAAAACTTAAAATCATATATACAGCAAAAATATACTTCGTATATTTATTCTTAATTTTTTAAATTGAAATAAAGTGATGGGAAATTTGTATGCCGAGCCTTATGTTTACGCATATTTGGTAGCCTGGAAATTAATTTGTTTTTATAAGTTGAAGAATTAACCCTTTACACCCATAATTGTATTGCATATATACGAAGTACATCTTGCTACTTAGTATAATTGTAATTTCGCGGAATTATTTCTGTATTTTCCTTGTAACGTTTTAATTTATGCGTTCTCCGTACATTACTTTGATTAATTAACTTGGATGATTCATATATATACCGTAGATGTGGGTGTGCGGACATTGTCAACGGTAGGAATACAATGCAACACAAACACAACAAAACATCCTTGTATGTTCTTAAAGGGAGGAAGTGGCCATCCTCAGAGTACGAACTAACGTTCCAAATCCTGTCCAAGACCCTCGTACCCGGAGCCGGGAACATGACAGTCGTAGTAACTGCTGCATTGAACAAATGGGCACAGGTTAGCCCGTTTCAGTTTCAGGAAGTGCCTGAGGACAGCAAGTCCAATTTGGTTTTCGGGTTTTTCAATGGCGATCACGGGGATGGACGCCCGTTTGACGGTCCTCTAGGAGTATTGGGTCATTCATTTTATCCTGAAGATGGGCGGTCACATTATGATGCAACGGAGGATTGGAGCGAAGACCCGGGACCAAATCAATTTGATCTAAACTCCGTTGTGCTACATGAAATCGGTCACCTTCTCGGACTTGCCCATAGTGCAGACCCTAGTGCTGTGATGCATCCGGGTATTGCACCTGGCGGAAGGCGGAGAGAGCTCCAACCAGACGACATTCAAGGCATTCAAGCCTTATATGGCCCAAACTAAAAGGAGTCGGTGCTTATATATGCAATATGCATGCCAAAGAACAAATGACGACTATTAAGGTCTAAATAAACTTGCATGTGGCGTTGTAAATATTTGGAGATGAAATAGTGTTATCAAAAACGTTGCAATCGAATTTAAAATAACATGTATATATCAGGTCTCTTATAAACACACCCTAAGTGCTTTACCATTGTTTTTTCTTAAAAAAAATGGCAAGAGAAATTATAAGTTTATTGACAATGTTTTATATCAATAAAAACAATAATTTAAGAGCAAAAGCTATTGTAGTACTTTGTATATACCTTCATTTTCATTACACAATTCTTTGTTCTAATAGGTAGACTTGCATATAAAATTAACAAATAAAACAATGTGTGAGAAAAAATGTTAACACATACACTGAGTTCATTTTATATTTGTATACTACGACAATGCTAACCATAATGAGGAAGCGATTTTTAAATCTGCTGCTTACCTAACTTTCATTCACACATCTAAGTATACTGCGTACATATTACATTGCTCATATCATTCCAAAATTAGAGTACTCTAAAGAGTCAAAACTCATTTTTTTCAACTATAACCATATATATAAACTTTTATTTAAAAAAAAAAAATCCGAACTATAACTCGGTTAGTAATGACAATAACAAAATCAAAACACGAAAATAAGTTTATCCAAATTATACAAAAAAAACCTCAGTTTCACTAGCAGATTAAAACTATAGCAAAACCACTAAATTGCTCCTAAATTCTCTTCTTCTTCTTGTTACTCTTTGTAGTTTGGCAATTGCAATCAAACATAGTTTCATAATCACTACTTCCCATACACCCTAACTTTCTCTTCATTCCCTTCCAAAAACCCACCTTCTTTTTACCTTTTTTCACACAACAATTCCTTTCACCAACACATCTTTCCTTAATCTCTTGCCTCTCTTCATCATCATCAAAATCATCCCACTCTTCGTCCTCCACTTGCTTAATCTCTTCGCTTATTCGCCTTCGGCTTCCTTCTTCTACATTACTAGTACTATTACTACAACATCCTCCAACAGCTTTACTAATGTTATCCCTTAGTTGAAGCTGAGACACAAACAAAACTTGTACAACCACTCTCAATGGTAACCTTCGATTTAAGGCCGCGTGATTACATGCTTGAGATGACATCTTTTGAAAGTCCAAAACCCTACAAACTTCTTCCCTTTCTAACTCACCCAACTCCGTGTGTTTATCCAAGTACGCGTCCACTGCCCTATAAATCCCATCCGAGTAACGGTAAGTCCCTACATTTGATGTCGAACTTGCCATCTCTGCCACCTCAGTAAAACTCTTAGCATCCATATTCCTCTTCTTAGCTACCTCTAACAAGTACTCTTCCATGAGCTCCGCCACTGCCACCAAACTCGATGAATCAGGGTCCGTAAAATTCTCATAAAACCCTTTTAGTATCCTTTTTAGGCTCTCTATATCTAGGTTCAAGGCAAGGAGATCCTCTGGTGTAGCGCGATACAACTCCTTACCTATTCAAATTTCCAAGGAAGCCACACATTCTGAACTCGCCTTTAAGGATGTTGCCAATTCATGCATCTCGAACAAGAGAGTGTAAGGGTAGAGAGGGTATTTGTTACTAGTTGTACAAGTAGGCAAAAGTCTCTCTATGACTTCAATTGCTTCACTATCATCAGCATGTTTCTTGAGGTAACGAAATAGGGACCCGGCGATGTTCTCTTGTGGAACCTGTCGTTGTACCATCGCCTCGACGATTGGTTTGTACATCTTCACCGGCAATGAGGTTATATCTTCCGTTGAAGTATCAGAATCTGATGAAGCAGTAGAATGATCACCTTCAGAAAAGAGCTTCCTCCTTGTTACATTACTGTTGTTATTACTAATGGGCCTGTTGTTATTACTATCGTTGGTGTACTCAATCATAATGGGCTGGGCCAGGATATTTGGGTCAGATAATACATGGGCTGTGAGGGCCTCTATACAAAAATCCAAAAGCCCAATCTCAACGGCCTGCTGAAATGTGGGCCCCTGTGATGCTCTTAAAGATCTTATAATTTGGTCCCAACTTGGAAGAATTTTTTGTTTCAAGAATAAAATGGCATTGTTGAGTAAGTTGTTAGGGCAGTGAGTTTCGGTCATCTTAAGATGGTTAGAGAGCAAATGAGAGAGATGATGTTGTCGCTCGTCATTTCGACGTGGAGTCCATGGCAAAATCTTGCTATGAGCTCTAAGGCCACGGGTTCTGATGGTATTTCGTTGAAGAAGACCGAGAGGTCTTCGAAGGGGTTGTTTTCGAGTAAGGAAGCTATTGTGGCCGATTTTTTGGCTAGAAGTCCCTGAAAATAGCCCAAAATAAGTCACAATAATTATTCAAATGATGAGTGATATTTTCATTTAAATTTATATCATAAAACATGGTGAAGAATGCTTACTTTGTCCAACTTGAAGGGGGTATTACACACTAATAGACGGTTATTTGGTGGCATTGTATGTTTGGAACACCTGAAAATTGATGTAAAAAGATGAAAAATTGATTAATTTCATGTTATTGTAGTTTCATTATTCTGGATTTTAGAATATAATGGGAAAAAAAAAATTATAATACCTAGATGATGAATCTTTGGTTCTAGCTATAGTCATCTTGTATACTTCTATGTTACTTGTCCTGTTGTGCACCCTTGACGCTGATTGTGCTGCTGATTCGATACGATCATACAAAATTTTTGAAACTTTCCTTTCTCAAACAAAAAGCAATACCATTATTGTTAGTTTTTTTTTCCTTAAAAATGACTAGAACATAAAGAAAAAAAAAAAACAATTAATAACAGAATAGTAATCTATTGAGATGAATCAATTACATGGTCATGTAATTAGTAATGGTAAAGACACCGTCTACATATAATCTTATTCACATTTGAGAAAGAGAAACATATATATAATCTTCCCAAATTAAAAACCCTACAACATTATATTGAACAAAATTAATTAGTAAATTGATTAGTACTAAAACCAAATCCCTGGTTTGTTAACTCGAATTGTATTTTTAGCATCACATGCACCCCCATTAATGTGTAGATCAACTTATAATTTTATATTTCATCCGTTCATTTCAATTGTCACAATTACTATTATTAATCGGAATTGCACATTAATATCTTTGGCTGTTTTTTAATAAATTTCTTTTTTGAAAAAGAATAATATTCAAATAAAACCGATCATATTTATAGATGTTCTACATCAATATATAGATTATATCACAAAAAAATTAATCAAACATATATATAAACAGTGTAAAAGTTCAAATTATTTAATAAATAAAGGACATATAAAATACTGTTTATATATATCGACATTAGAAAATTAAAATGGTAAAAGTATACCTAAAATTAACACAATTGTAAAATGTATAGTACAAGCAAATTAAATGGGATGACTATGTACTGTATACATACCTTAAAATGGAAATGATAAATTGCTGAATATTATTAATGAAGGCTTGGGGCTTGCCCTCGGGATCACCAAAAAAAAATTAATGAGGAGGGAGAACGGGCAGTGTTTTTTTTTTTTTTTTTTTTTTTTTTGAGTAAATGAGTGATTATGGCTGCCTGCTACAGTAATGCTAATAACCTTTGAGTATAGTGGGAGAGACATATCAGCCGCTCGCACTTTTCTTGTTACATAGAATTAGGATTTGGTTGTTACTTAGCCAATTTTAACGTTTGAACTTTGAATTTGTTGCTATGAAATTTTCATTTTAATTATTCTTTTTGTCCCTAAATATATATATATATTTTTTTTTTAAAGTCCCTAAAATATTTCAAATAAACTACTTCATTTTTTATTTTACAAATGCAACGATATAATCCAACTAAGGCTGTAACTGTTATCTATCAGTCTTATCGTACTATGAGTCTATGAGTATGTCACTAGACAATATAACTGTATCATATTCTCTAATAATTAGAGTGGGTCAAAAATCTATTAAATGAGTAATTTTATTTTTATATGTTACTCTTTTCGTATTTTATTACTTGATCCATTTCTATAATACGGAGTTTTAGGAGGAATATTACTATTTCTATTTCATACTATTTGCAATAATTTGATATAAAGTGTGAGTAGGAAATATCTAATCGTTGCAAATAATATGAATTGGAGATAAAGCATAATTTATGATGGAAGTGTGGTGGTTTTTAAATAAACAAAATCTACAAAAAGTAAAAGTGTGTATAAGTAAAGAGGAAAGAATATGAAAAATATTAAAATATGATAGGAAGAGACTACTAGTAGGGATGGGGAGGTAAATAGTAAAATACTAGGTTAGGTCCCGTGCCATGCAAGTTGATCTACAGTTATATATAGTTAGATTATTGATTGATAAGTATTATAATTATAAATTAGTCAATGAATAATAAAAGTATGTGATATGATGATTTTTTAGTTGTAGCTTCTAATACACAACTAAAACAAAAGTAGGCAAAGAATCGGAGCAATATTTTTTCTTGTTGTAAAACAGGTCACAAATTAATTTAAGGATATGATTTTTGGTTTATAGTTGTCCAAAATCTTTTTAATTTAAATATAATAATTATTACGTATTAATATGGAATATGTATATAAAATAATTTTATTTTTGTAAATAATTTGTTTCCTTAATCAATAGATCCTTATAAAAAAATTAAAAAAAAAAAAAAAAAACTAAGGACACACTAGAAGATGACAAGTGCCATTGTTGGTGTGTCTTTTAGTATATAGTTAAGTTATGATTAATGATTATTGATTGTTTAAGATTTCCAAAAATTGAAATAGAGTAATTAAAAAATACAACACACAGAAGGAAAGTGGAACAAGTAATAAAATATGGAGGGAGTATAATTGGTCAAAATTATTGTGCAGTATCACTTGGCATTTACATTTTTACAACGGTTGTAAAAAATCTTTTCTGGGTCATCGAGATCGGATGTCATTAAAAATTAAAGAGTTTAAGTAATTAAGTACAAAC